CATTTTTACAGTGCACTTGCTCACATAAACTAAATAGACACTTGAACAGGTACACATACACCACCCAATTTCACCATTGTTTGTACAGGAATAGTTTCACCACACTAACAGCTCAACCTCAATTTTGATGGATAATGCCTCGAATAGGGGATTTTCTCTAATAGATGGAAGAAAGCTTTTATTTTCTCTGTATTAAATTACAAAAAAAGACCTCTTCTAAAACATTGTTAGCTATCTTCTAACTGCACTTATGAGTTGCTTTTTCAAAGTTCTGATATATTATCTTGCCTACTGCCCAAAGCAAAAAGCTTTCTGGAAGGGATAACAGCTGTTAGGCATATCAAACTTTAAGAAATGATGATACAAAATGCGTTTATAACTTAGCTTGTACTTAGCTTGTATCTGGAAAAGGCATATGACAATAGCAAGAAATATTTCACGCCTCCGTGTAACTTGTATGGTTCTCTACTGGTTTCCATGCAAAACATTTTGTAAGCCAGTGAATTCCAAGTGAAAATAGATTCTCTGCTAAGTTAGTACGGTGGGACTATACCCGTATCATCAATGGTGAATTTCTGGTGTCCCGAGCCCACTTCTATCTGTACCTGCTATCTGATACATGCTAAATGTTATAGATTTAAGGTTTTCAAGTAAATACCATTCTTAAAAGAGCTTCCATCAACAAGGGAGGAAGTTTTGCATGCTAATGTTCTTCAGATAATCTCCCATGGTGCTAATGTATGATGAATACTTTTGCTTTAAAAAATCTTTAAAGTGGCAAATAGTCAAAGATACATATTCATTCCTAGATTCTTCTTTTTTTTAATACAAGAAATAAAACATACATACAAAGTGCGCAAACTTAAAAATTCTCTTTTGGTACACTTTAGTTTCTCAAATAATATACTAATTTAGAATAAATATCATCACTCGCCTCTCTGTATTCAGGAATGGACAATATGTTTAGTGGAATTCTTTTGGTTATGTAAGTCAATCAAAATAATCTTCGAACTAAGATGAAGTACTTTAAAAACAGAAAAGAATTGATCATATGTTGCATCGCACGCTAATTAAGCTCCTGCACTTTTTCAAAGCATCTTATTGAAATAAATTAACACTTAACCTTAGATGCATTTGTTCCTGCATTGAATTAACATTATTGTAAGTCTTCACGAAGCAAAACTTCTTTATGCATATTTCTTTAAATGGTATTCTGTCCTCCATGCGTAGATTCACATTTTCTGTAACAAGAATGCTCTTTGACAATCTTACAGTGTAAGGTCTGTGATATTAAAAAAGTCTTTTTACACTTAGCATTCTGATTGAGAATAGAAAACAGAAATCATAACTGCAGACGCATTTCAGAAGAATGTTGAAGGAATGTAGCATGTTTGCTTACTGTAAATCTGAAAACGATACTGTAAAAGGCTGATACATTTTTTACCCAAGATGTAACCTTCATTAAGCAAATTTATTTTCGATTAATGAAGAACTCACGAACTTTAAAAAAGACACAAGCAAATTTTAATTCCTCCGATCCTTCATACATTTTTCTTTTGAGTTTTTCTCAACACATGCATGCGGACTTGTTGGGAATACAACACTTTTAACTAGTACTTTTCTTTGGAATAGCAAAAGATAAAAAATAAAATGTAAATATACTTACTGGAATCTGAAGCAAGAATATGAAATTCATATGATACTGTGTATTTACATAAATAACTCTGTCTGCCTTGAATTTTTATTCTACTGTAATAGTTTTCTTTCGTATTTTGTATTACATTGAATTTGCATATAATTGCTGCAAATATATGCCTTCAATTGTTCTTTTCTATTTGTTTTGTGGACTCTGTGTATCTAATTGTTAACAACTTATAAATAACTCTAATAAAACTGAAGATATCACCCCTCATTTTTCATTCTTGGCGAGTTTGAGAATAGTTATACAGGATGGATATAACCATTACAAAGGGCTATATCTATTTAACTGAAAATAATTTATCGATAAAAATCACCCAGAATGGAAAAGTAAGTTCAAAATTTTGTTTACATACTGTATAAATGTTTTGTGTGACTTCCCGTTGGTAACGCAGACAACATCTGAGTGGTAGTCCATTTCACGATATACATTCTGAAGCATATCCAGAGTTATGAACGCATTTTGAGATCTGAATTGTTTTTGGATATTTTGTTCTAAGTGGTTGTGTGAAAGACCTTACATACGTGCTTCCTTTGCAGACCCCTGCAGGGGTCTCTATGTTCTAAAGAAGGTTTCTATGGACTGTTACAATTTATTGCCACTACTAATTTTATTTCAAAAACAAAAATCGTAAGCACCTATGTAATATATTTTCTACCTTACATACCTTATAAGACAATTATCAGATCAGGACTGCATAAGTGAATGAAAACTATATTTCTGAACTAAAATATATATGAAAAAAATATTTACAGTAAATCAGCAACAACAAAATCAGATACGTTTCAGATTTTAATGGTTGTCAGTAACCAAAATGTGCTTTCATAAAATCTAAAATGTTTTCACCGATTTCATTTGCTTTATAAATATTCAAGTTTATCAGTAACTTTGCATTATTTTAGGAACAGCTTCAAGGTATTTATTTATTTATTTATTATTATTTTTTTGTGGCTAATAATGTTTAGACTTCCTCATAGCAGCAATAAATGAGAAAAATTTTCATACAAGTGTGAAAAATGAAACTATGATAAAACATGCTGTTGTATGCTCTTTCTATTTTCTTATGGACATCTCAGTTTGTCATGAGAGAAATCTAATTTTTCATCAAGACAGTGTAATTTGGCACAAAAGTAAAACAAGTAACATGGAATGCAAATCTCATAAGTACACAAAGAATATTTAACTAATATCCTATAAATATTTGAAATATATACAATAAATACATTTTTTTTGTTGAAAAAAATATTAATATTTTCTTTTATTCATTTAATATATTATTTAATTATAGAATGAACCATTATTAAAATTAAATTAAAACAAAGCATGACAGTCCTAAAGATTTTAACAATCTAAATAGCAGAATACGTATAATTTTACGTATCCTGCTTTGCTCATATCAAGGCTCAGCCAAAGAACTAGGAATAGTTTTTAACAGACTTTTGAAAAAATAAATAAATAAATAAATAAATAAAAAAAAAAAAATAAAACTTTATTATTAAATTTCATTTTGGTTGTCTAGCAGGGAAAAAAAGTACCAAATGCAGCAGCTTTGATGACAGCAAATGCTGCTGGTCTTTAGTTGTAATCAATGTAGTTACTTGGTAGTGTTGAAATTAATATAGTTTAAATTGACAGGATTATTGCTAAATGAAAATACTGCATTGACTACCATTGATAATCATGCCTTCTAACTAATTACCCAAAGCAGATCAAAATTATCTGGAATTCAGGGGATCATACTAAAAGAATAATTCTCATGGTTCTTTCAGATTTGGTATGCTTTCTTGTCACAAATTTAGAGAACATTAAGCCTCCAACCAGTACAATATGATATGTAAGATATATAAATGAAGCATATATTTTACATAATGGCTCTTTTATATACTTGAGAGAATATCACGTGTATCTTGTTGTCTTCATTGTTTTCAATGAAAATATTACGCACATTTTGTTTTAAAATGGAATTATTAATTTGTTATGTATATGCATATCAGAAAGTGTTTTCAAAAATTGAAATTTTATTAATGGGTTCAATTTCCAGTATAAATTCGGTATATGCTTGAAATATTTTAAAACATAAACTTGAAACTATAAACTTGAAATATTTTTTATGTTCTTACTTCATATATTTAAGTTTTTTATTTGTTGTTATTTAAATATTTTTTCAGACATTAATTGTTTTCAGTATTTACTTACCTACTAGTGATTTTTGAGACTATAAATTTAAAATCTAAACAATTTACTCAAAATTCATTTTTTAGTGTGTTAATTTAGCCCCTAGTTAGCCTTGACTGCTCCCAAAATACTAACTTTAAAAAGGTTTGACTTATGACTTCTACTTTCCTTGAAACCAAATTTATTTGCATCAAAACGATACTTTTGCTTTGATCCAGATATGCCTAAGAGGCAAGGAGTTTTGCACAAAAGATTTATCAAAACACAGCAATTTTGATTTTTATGTTCTACTGGAAAAGAAAGTATTTTATGTAGTAATAAATGTGAAATATTTTATGTGGAATAATAATAAGAATGCTATTTTACTTTCAGACTTTTTCAGATAAGTTCAGTTATTTACTTCTAATGAGTGAAATGATCCTAACATAATTAAGAAATCTATTTTGAAACGTAAAAGCTTGGAAAATAATTCTAAAATGTTAAGAATTATTCCCCGGTTTCTTGCCAAACACAGGATTCATGAAATTAGATTTTAAAGTGCAGCATACCTCCATTTATAGACTGCATGTTCTTCTTTCAAGAGATTTAATATTAAATACAGTTAATCTAAACAAGTGATGATTTTCTACAGTGTGGTGATATAATGTCTCTTTTCAGGCAAGGAATTGTTTTACCACATACTGCGATTAGTTATCTCCTGTAATTTAAAAAATATATTGTGATTTTTTATTTATTTCTTTGTGCATAATCTAAATGGTTTCTTTGTTTCAAGAAAGAAAACTATTATGCATTCTACAGTATGAAGTTTTTAAGCAAATTAAAAATAATTTCATTATTTAATTTTTTTTCAAACTAAGCATGCTTTTGATTTTATTAAATGGGAATAAAAATAGTTTATTCTTTTTAATTGCAGAAACTGAAATAAAATAAGATAAATGAAAGCATAAAATTCCTTCACTATATATGCACTATGAATTATAGTACTGCAAAGTGGGAAGGCAATATTACTGATATTTTTCTATACATATACTATATATATGGGTTTCGATTCCAGTTAAGTCTTAGTAACTGAAATTCTACTGTACTAAGAAAATGTATAATAAAACGATTGAAGGATACAATATCATTTGTTAAATCAGTATCAAAGTAATATTTAATGACAGTACCAAGATATTTTAAGCACATACATTTACATATATACATATATATGGTAATAAAATTATACAAGAATAAATATTTAGGGAACCAATGATAATCCAGCTTATTAATATATATATATATACACATAATAAAAAAACTACAACTTTTAGATATGAAATGTTTTTTTAATTCACAATCTAGTACATAAACTTCAGAAATATTAATTTAGAATTTCACTATGCTATATAAAATAAAATAAATGATTTAAATTTGATAAAATCTAAATCTAGTATAAAACTTTTTCCCTTCTATTTTTATTTTACAGGTTATTTTGTAATTAACAAATGCTGGGCATTTTCTTAACATTGATATTACATGGGAAGTTTCAGTCAAATTCATGGCATTTCACAGAAGAATCTTATTTACATGCAGATAAAATGGCGGAGGGAAAATTTTAATATCTTACCAACTTATGCCCATTCTTGACCACCACTTTTAAAATCCACAATCCAAATAAAAATGGACAGTGCATGGCAACTGCTGTTTTTTTTTTTATAATCAGATCATTATTCTAAAGATTATCTGGCAATGTTAAAACCATGTTTTTAATAAATCTGATGTTAAATGGAAGCATATACTTCAGACAGAGAACAGCAGTCTAAAGTTTTTTCCACAATTTGATTTCACTCAGTTTTTTTCTGGGGAACAATTTCTTTAATCAAAGTAAGTTTCTCAATAATTTCAAAGGCTTCAATAAATATAATACATATATATGTAGAGAAATTTTGCAGTGGAATTAATAGTTATGGATTAAAAAATAATTTAAACTTTAGAAGAATTTGTAAGAAATCAAAATTTTGTTGCATTTTAGTTTAAATTTACCTTTTCGTTCATGTTTATAGCACTAGTTTGTATAACACAAAACTTTCTCAGCTCTTTCAAAAATCTTAATAAAATTTTAGTGATTCAGTAGCAAAATCTGAATCTTGTACACACATACACATACAAATCCGTTTTCTTAGTATAAAATATCAGCTTACGTTAATACAAATAAAATGAAGTTTTAAAATGCTACTGCAAATGTGAGTTTTTCAATGATTACTTATAAATTATCACAGTCTGGCAAAGGAAAATACTCAATGTTCCAATTTTCTACATACTGGACGGTCACTAATTTCACCACACATTTTTATGCAAACAGAAGACTACGTTTCCATTTGCTCACTCTCTCCATCTTGGTCCTTTTCCCCGTCATAAAATTCATTAGGTGGCTCAACCCTATAATGAAAATAGTAAATTTTGTAATCGCGTAAATGAAAATTATCAGATTATTTAAATAGAGAAATCACCTTGAGGACTACTTAGTTGTTAGTTATCAAATGAGGGATCAACTATCAGCATGCAACGGCCTTATTACACATAGTCTTTACTCATTATTACACCTTTATTTATAATTATATGCATACAGCGGTTTTATTAAGGTGAATTCACCTCTTTCCTATTTCTAAGTATTTTAACCTTTTTAATAAACATTATCATTTGTTCCACACATTCATTTAATATTTGTCACTAATTAACAAATGCTGGGCATTTATATGGAATTTATATGGACGTATTCAACACCAATAAAAAGTGAAATGCATATATGAAATGGTAAATTACATCTTTTAAGGTTTTTACGATTCAAATTCAAAAGTTACAACTTTATTCTTTTACCTTCAATAAATAAAACACACACACACACAAAATATTAAAAAAAAATCAGAAAAAAAAATATATATATATCAGAAATAACGACTGTAGATAATGCAATCTACAAATTATTCAAAAAACTTACTTTGCTTCTACTTCTTGCGTTGTCATTCTAACATCGGGATCTTGTTCTTTCTCTTCTTCCATCTGCAGACGAAGGAAATCAGTGGGAACATCTTGCATTTGTACACTAGGTGCATGAGTAAGAAATTTCAGATTATCTGTCACTGCTTTCACAATGGTATCCAAATACTATATGGACAGGAAGAGCGAAAAATTATTTAACATAGATATGTATATATATACATTTTTTCAATAACTTTATATATATATTTGCAAATTTTGTATTCAGTTAGATATTTTTAGTACAATTATAATTAAAATGGTTTTAGTTTCCCATGCAATCCATCGCGAGACGAGTTTTAAGAGAAAGCAATGCCAAAAAAGTAAAAATATAACAGCACGTGCATTTAACATTGAATAATTGGATATATCTTTTATTTGTATTGAAATTGAATAAATGTAATTGACTACTATATTAGCTGTAACTATAATTCCTCTTGTTGGTTTTCAGAAATCTTGAATTACCCGAAATTTCTCGTGACTGATTAAAAGCTGTAAAAGGCCAGACAGAGAATATCTCAGCTCAGTTGCTTAGTAACTGTTAATGCAATTTGTTTAGCTTTCTCTTTGAATTGGGTTGTATTTTAATGTTTTTAGTAGCTTAAAGTATAGCCACTGGTTGTATTTCATTCTATTTAACGTATTTGCGTTCTACTGATTATTAATGCCTTGATATTGTGAACATTTGTAAGAATATCTCTGAGGAAAATGCCAGCAATTTGTTATATTTCTTGTGACACAATAAATTTTACTAACTTTTTAACGGACTTGTACATTTAATCTATTACGAAGCCGTATGTACACAGTAAAATAAAATACTAACTTTAAACATAGCCCTTTTTAAATTTGGTTACTAACTTTAACACTTCTATTCTAAAAATAGTTATATGCTTACAATAAACCTTTCTAAACTCTATCATTTCAAGATTAATCCTTGCTAGATGATTCTTATATAATATTAATGATGCAGGTACTTATATGATAAATAATAACAGTAAAATCTGCAAAACAAAACAAATCAGCCAGCTGGGATAAAAACAAAAAACTAAATTAATCTTAACCGTCACACTGGAAGCTTTGCATTTCTTTTTAACTTCTCTGGCTTGCATCTTCTTTGCATATCGTCCTTTTTTAAAATTTATTACCAATGCAACTATTCAGTACCATTTTTAAAATTTATTACCAATGCAACTATTCAGTACCAATATGGGTGTGCATTTTGCTGCAATTTCGCTTTGCCTGCATTAAAAAAGTTTGCTTACTGTAAAAGAAATCTCAACTAGCAACAACTGCAGCCATCTCTTTATTAGTTGACATTCATCATTAATATCAATATCATCATAAACAAATGATTACATGATGCATACAAGGGAAATATATGTTAACATTTAATTAAAAGAAAAGTTAACATTTATCTAATAAGAAAAATAACAAAGTGCAGACATAGCAAACTGAGTTCTGCATACGAAAAATTTACAAGTTACTAACACACTAAAAGTCATAAAATAATTAAAAATTTTCCCCCTATATAATTAAATAAAAATTCTGTAATTTATAAAAACATTATATTTATTTTTTAATCATTAATACTTCATTCAGACTGTATTATGTAATGCTGCCCTATTTATATAAGCTATAATACTGGCTAACCCCTATGCTGTATTGCTCGAGCCTAGTTTCAAATTGCTGAGAAAACTTGGGAGTGCTGTTGCAACATGGGAAAACTTAAAATACATGATGAGCTGAAATTCCTCTTTAGAGGTTTGGTGGTAGGAGACGGAAGGGATGCAGGAGATCCATGGATCTGCTTATCATTAAGATTTTCCTTCTAAATTGAAACACAGCTGAGCAAACTCATGCTGTCACCTACATGGTGCTCAAAGCCTATGCCAATAAAAGAAACAATCCTATGCTCATTGCTACAATTAAATCCGTGGATTTTTTTTCTGATGTTTCTGTCAGATAAGTGAGATAAGTCACAACACAAGATATTATGCCATACAGAAACCAATAGATTTCCAAGTAACCCAATCAGTCTTTGCTTTATTTTGCTGAAATAATACACACATAAAAATCAAATCTCAAATTTTTTTAGTTTACAACATTTATAATAATATGAAACATACCTGCTTGCTATTGGCATTATCTTGTTTAGTTGCTATGTCAGGATGTAATGTGAAATCAGGTGCAAAATATTCAAAGTATTCTACATGAAAGAGAAAAGCAAGGTAAGAAAACGAATTTGATTAAAATATATATATATATATACAGTAAAAAGTCGTTAATCCCGACTCGACGGGACTTCGGCGATTCCAGATTATAGATCATCAGTTTAAATCTCGTAAGATGGCATGCAGAAATTATAAAATTAAAAATATGAAACCGTAATTTATGAAATAAAGAACAATTATGATCTAAAGGTTATCAAAATTTACAAAAAAAAAAAAAAAAAAAAAAAAAAAAAAAAGCTTAATATTTATTTGTTTACTTTATTAAACATTTCTCTCAATGTAAGTTGTTTAAGTTGCTTCGTTTTTTATGTGATAATACTTTTTCTTTAATTCTATAAACAGACATAATTTCTTGTTCATTTACTACAAAGTTTCGCTGTTCAAGTCCTATAATTGCTGTGTCGAGAATACCGGCTAAGAAATTTTTTCGTTTTCAATAATCTCTGTATCACTTTCTTCGCTATCGGAAGCAAATTATAATGACAAGGAATTTGATTTAAATCATATCAAAGACGGAGTACATCGAGATGAAATACTACGTTTAGTAAGTAATTATAAGCCAAATAAAATAAAAACATCTGCCCTGAAGATAAGGATAGTGCTGACAGATCAGCTTCCAATTGTGCGCCGCACCATCCCCCCTCCCCACCGCAGAGCAGCGTGAAATTGATAAACAGATTTCGAAATGGTTAGATAAACAAAGGATATGCCTTTATCCATTTTTTGCAGCAATTCCACTTTTTGTTTAATGGACTTCGAAACATACTTTCGCTTAGTAGGTCCTTTACATATTAGTAAATATATATCGGAAATTCTATTTGACACAATCCAAAGTTCAAGCTTACTTTTATAAAATTGCTCTAACAGTCTGCAAAAATAATAAGCGGGATCCAATTCGAAGATTAAGGAACAACGCAATCTGCAACATTAACTGAATTAGATAATATTAGCTTAGCTTATACCGTCCGTTATACATTAAACGCACATGTGTAAACGTATTTTGCGCATGCGCACACGCATATTCACAGCCAGAAAGGTCTTTAGCGCATGCTTCAATGCGACGCATGCGCAGAAAGTTTGTAGCTTTGAGGTCCGGATTATGGGTGTTCGAATTAACGATATTTGACTGTATATATTTTTATTGAATGATGAATGAATAGCAAATTAATGAAGTGAATTCCCCCCTTTTAATTTTTTTTTTTTTTACTAATATCTGCTTACTTTAAATCTTTGTTATACAAGAAAATGAGTATTTTATAAAAAATGCCATACCATCCGGTTTTAGCGAAAGTTTCCTGCCAAAGTAAATATCGTCTGTGCAAACAATTCGCATTGACGTGCTTAATCATATTTTGTCAAATGACTTTTGGCATTTGAAAGAAAGAGCTTTAGAACACTGTGTTGTGAAATTTTTTAAAAAAGTATTGTTATCATTAAGTACAAGCTGTCTGAAATGGAACTATCACGCTACCAGATTAGAACCATCACTTTCATCCAGTTCTGTTACAAAAAGTCAGCTACACAGTGTCACCTAATTATGTGTACAGCTTTAGATATTAATGTTGTATCATATGACACTGTGAAAGTTTGGTACCAAAAGTTAAAATCAAGGACTATGACATTCAAAAAGCAGAGCGCTCTGGCCAGTCTAGTGATGTTCATGAGGCCTGTCCTGTGAGAACTTGTGGAAGAAGATCAGTATGCAACCACTTGAGAGCTTCCTAAGGAGTTAGACAGTGCAATGCCCATTAGTCATCTTATGCATCCCATAAACTTGATGTATAAGTTCAGTTGATGGGTGTAATTACACTGTTTTGAAATCTGTAACATAAGCCAGTGGTCTCAAACTGATGATCCACGAATACATTTCCCATAAAATAATCAGATTATAACCAGAATTTGAAGATTAAACTGATTAATTTACACTATGATACAGTCAAAAGTCGTTAATTCGGACCTCAAAGCTACAAACTTGCTGCGCATGCGTTGCTTTGACGCATGCACGTAAGACCTTTACGGCTGCGAATATGCGTGTGCGCAAAATACGTTTACGAATGCACGTTTAATGTATAACGAACGGTATAAGCTAAGCTAAAATTATCTAATTCAGTTAATGTTGCAGATTGCGTTGGTCCTTAATCTTCAAATTGGATTCCGGCTTATTATTTTTTGCAGACTGTTAGAGCAAATTTATAAAAGTAAGCTTGAACTTTCGATTATGTCAAATAGAATTTCTGATATATATTTATTAATATGTAAATGATCTACAAAGCGAAAGTATGTTTCGAAGTTCATTAAACAAAAAAAAAAAAAAAAAATTGCTACAAAAACTGGATAAAGGCATATCCTTTGTTTATCTAAACTTTGTTTATCTTTAACGCTGCAGCGCCACGCAATGAATTGGAAGTTGATCTGTCAGCACTATCCTTATCTTCAGGGCAGATGTTTTTATTTTATTTGGCTTATAATTCCTTATTAAATGTAGTATTTCATCTCGATGTACTCCATCTTTGATATGATTTAAATCAAATTCCTCGTCATTATAATTCGCTTCCGACAGCGAAGAAAGTGACAGAGGTTATTGAAAACGAAAAAATTTCGAATTGATAAATTTGTCGGTATTCTCGACACAGCAATTATAGGACTTGAACAGCGGAACTTTGTAGTAACTGAACAAGAAATTATGTCTGTTTATAGAATTAAAAAAGAATGTATTATCACATAAAAAATGAAGCAACTTAAACAACTTACATTGAAAGAAATGTTTAATAAAGTAAACAAATAAATATTAAGCTTTTTTTTTTTTTTTTTTTTTTTTGTAAATTTTGATACCCTTTAGATCATAATTGTTCTTTATTTCATAAATTACGGTTTCATATTTTTAATTTTATAATTTCTGCATGCCATCTTACGAGATTTAAACTGATGATCTATAATCCGGAAAAATCAATAATCCAGAATCGCCGAAGTCCCGACGAGTCCGGATTAACGACTTTTGACTGTATAAATCTTATTCAAAGATTTAAAGATACAAATTTGATTAAATTTTATTAGCACTTGTCAAAAGATACATATCACCACAGTTACAAATTTTTGCAACAATTGCTATGTTTGGAAGTACATGTGTACAGTCCCCTCCCCAATACTTGAATATTAAGAAGTCTACAAAAAGAACCAGACTACGAATAGTAGTATCTACAATTTGTGATGAAGATATTTTGATACAAGATTACAGACTTAAAGAAAATTTAAATGTTATGAGGTAGCTAAAAGGTGTAACATGTGAAACAAAGAAGTTTATTATTATTTACATATGTAATTATTTATTCTGTATGTGTCATAGAAAAATGTAATAAATAAAAGAAACAGAATAAATCGTCATTATTTGTTCTCAAGTTTTTGCCCCTCTTGGGAAGTTTTGGTATATTTCTTTTCAGTTCAAGTTAAAAGTACGTTATTTAATGGTTATTTCAATGAAGCCAATCTGAAAATTTCAATATTTAGCTGTGAATGCATTTGAATTACCAACTGCGACCAACACAAATTTCTTGCAGATACCATCTTTTAGATTTCAGGAAGAAAATAAGTGCAAAAACTTTTTAAAAATTTAGTTAATAAATTCTGTTTCATTAACAACAATAATGGGGGGATTTGTTTTTCAAAGTTTTGTTTATTTAATGTAGCCCATAAGCTACTTTCATTTACTGTCAAGAAAATATAAGCAATTATCTTGAAGCATATAATTTGCTCATGACATTTAAAACTTATTAATCCTATGAGTGGCAGCCAATCATGAGATTTTTTGTGACTTGGTTATTATTAGCTTGTAATTTAAGGCATTTTGCTTTCCTACTTTCTTTAATTATGTAAATATCATCTTGATGAATGTAATTTTATGAAAGTAGAGATTAAAATAAGTAATTATACAATTTTAGCTAATAAATGCTGTTTAAATACAGGTCTTCATAACACATAAAAAAAAAACATCATTCAGAGGGTTAAAATGAAGCAATTATGCTGCTACCAAGCGCATACAAAATATTGTTTAGGATTTTTTTTTAAAATTTATTGGCCTAATGGTGTAATCCTTTGAAAACTGTTCCTATCTATCATAAATTATATCCAAATGATTGTTGTAGTGGCTACGTTCATGCATTTTGAGTATAACTACGCAACAGATCGGAGAGCGACTCCTTGTTTCAAATGTTACCCTTTTTCTCATATCTTATTTTGTATAATTTATATTTGATATGCACTTTTGAATTTTCATGTGTATTTTTCTTATGTAGCTCATTGGTGATTTTTTTCACAGGCATAAATAACCTGGTTTACATGAAATCCTACTTTATTTGATATTCTTGTACAGCAACCATTTCTCTTTGCCAGTTACCATTTGACTTAAAAATCCAAAACATTCTGTTGGGCAAGGTTTGAAACATGAAAATTCACTCTTCTCTTACTATGTTTCTGATAATTTATGTGATAATCCAGGTACTCAAATTTTTCACAAATTTAAGACATGAATTCACTTTTCCACTATGAGCCCTATATTTCTTCTACCATAATGATGATCAATTCTACCATATTGATGATACCATATCTATGAAAATTTTGAATAAAAAGTTCTAATTTATCTCAGGTGTGCCTAGAAATACATCAACTTTAAGATGATGTTAAAAACTTTATAGGTACATAATTTTTTTTTTTTTTTTTTAGAAAATATTTTAAAAATATGAATTTTAAAAACAAATCATAAAAACTGTCGAATTATATTTGTATTAAGTTCAAATTTCGAATTTTAGATGAAGGAATCGTGTAAGTTTAATAAAAAAAGAGATATTAATAAATATATAGCAAATTCAATTAACATTGAGGAACTAAAATTTTGAGAGCTAATTTTTAAAAAAATACTAGTGTGATTTTAACAAAACTTGGCAGTTTGGCATAATTTGAGTTGTAGAATCGAAGTATAGAAAAAAATTGGCATGTCATTTTGGAAAAAGTCAGATTTTGTGTCAAAATTAGAACAATGCTATACATAAATCTAATACATATCCTAAGTCACGCTTTCAAGACATGAAAAAGTTGCATTTCATCAATCGGCCCAGCAGATCAGGATATAGAACTGTCCCTTTTTTGCTGCGCAGTGTACTCACAAGTCAGAAATTATGTATTAAAAATTATGTCCAATGTATTGGAAATTAGAAAAGTATGTAATGTACAAGCATAAAGTATTAAAATGTGTTTATTGGTCTCTAACTGCTCAATTAGTTAGGATAAAGATTTTAAGAAACACCTATGATACAGCAACACTTACATGGATTTATGAATGATAAATACAGTCAAAGGTCTGAGATCCAGAGAATACTTGGGAATTTTGGAAATTTCCTGATTTTAGATCATTAATTTAAATCTAGTAAGATGACATATAGACATGGCAATGCTGGGATTTCACTTATTTAGGTTAGAAAGAAGAATGCTAACCTCCCATATGGCCAATGCCAACGCAAGTGTAACTGGTTGTTAGAATTTAAAGGCGAAAAAAAATTGAGAATTCACAAGATGCACTGACCAGTAGAATTTAAGGAAGGCAGACCCATATAGATTTAACTAGATGGCAAAATATGTATGGACCTGGCCCAACACTCACAATCACTCAAGGTCCAAGGTACGAAAGTGTGATCCTGGCCAACATCAGTACATTGTCAATCAATGCACTGCTATTAATCATGTGTGACACCCTGTCAGCAGACATTTGAATGTTGCATGCAGGAATCTGTTACCCAGGGGGGAAATCACATTAACAGCCTGATTGCTGCCTTTTGTTATTAAATTTTCTAACCCCAGTCTTGTTTTTAAATTTCTCAGTTTGTTTACTTGCATGTATTTCTATAATTTGAAACAAATAACATGCTGTCGTAATTGAAAAGATTAGAGTTTTTTCCTCGCAAAAATATAAAACTAGACAGCTGATGTTTCTAAAAAAGAAATTTTCATTGTTAAAAAAAAGAAACATTTCCTTTAAAAACATCATAAAAAAAATGTTGTCATTCCTTACTATTAGTTCAAAAGTTTATGGAACAATAAGCAATAACCTAATGATTTCTGCTGCCATTAAAAAAACAAAATTAAATCATTGGGTAATTTATAGCATTCTTGGTCAGTATAATTTATTATACTGTAGTCAAATTCAAGAAACTTTGCAAATTTTTGCTAAAATTACAAATTATTATACATTCTTACCATTATAAGGAATATCACTGCCTATATTTTCCTCTACTAAAAGAGATGTTTCATATGTCCAACACCTTGATACATTTCGAACAGTATATCCTCCACCGCCAAGGACAAGAAGAGGGACATTCAATTCCTTCACAAATTTAACACACTCCCTAAAGGAAGAAAATATATCTCAGCATTGCACACACACAAAAAGCATAATTTTATTAAAAAAATAAATAAAAAGCAGCAGCATATATATTGCATTCAAAATGTTTAATGAATTGTCTGATATTTCAGTGGCAATATCGTATGCACCTGCAAATGTTTACCTACAGGTATGTAAAAAAATACGGCAAAATTAAGTTCTTTGACCATGTGGCCAACAGAGTAGAGATGCTGTGGCCAGTTAACATAGTCAATGTGAAAGGTTACATCCCAGCACAACGCAGCAACGAATAATCATTGAATTCCATTGCAAATCAGAGAAAAGTGTGATGGAGAGATATAGAATGTTGGTACAAGTATAGAGAAAAGAAAATGTGTTAACAACCAATTCAAATGCTCTTACAATGCAAAGGAATAAGATATATTTCGAGAGTTGTCCATCAGCAGGTCATATGTGTCAATTCCACACATGATCAAATGAAACACATGGGGTCAGAAGATTGAAGATGACTGTGCAAATGATGGAAGGCGAAGAAAATATTAGCATGGACATGGAATACACATTATCTGAAGATCTGGGTAAGCAAAAGATCAGATTTGAGCTTCTGTTGCACACGCTAACAAAGAAGCTGTATGTAGAATGAACAGTCATCTTTGTAGATTTCATTACTGTGCGTGATTAGATTCTATGTTTCCTCTGAAGGATTACTGTGGTGGATGACACTAGGTGCAATCAGTTCAATCTGGAATACAAGGGGCAATTAATAGAACTATCTTTCTTACCTATGACCAAAAAGAATCACTTGCAAAATTCAAAGGTCAAGAAAAGTGTATTGACATTTTTGACAATAACGGCCTCAACCACAAGGAATTTTCTCCCATGAGTTAAATTGTAAATGGTACATTTTATGAGAAAATTTTCCAATGATTACTAAAATGCACCCAGCGTGTTTGCCCATAATTACACAGATGTTAACGGCGGATGTTAAAGATTTGAAGAGTGCTTCAGTGTACGCTATGAAATTCGAGGCAGCCCAGCAAGCCACTCGTCGAGACCGCCACCCAGTCAGAGCTGCTCAAGTTCAGGAGCCAGGCGATCAAGTCACCACTCGTCTAGACGATTTAACTAGACAACTCAACGCCTTGAGACGGAATATTGGTGAGAAGAAACCGACCGTTAAGTGCTGGAAGGACACATACGACGAAACTTCAGAAACACCCCAGGGCACGGATGTTAAGACCGCTCCTAGCAAGCAGCAGGGAAACTAATTAGTGGCCATCTCGTGGGGCGGAGGTTGCCAGATAATGAAAAGCCCCAGTTTAAAGCGCTTCAGATTTCTGCAGTGAGAGGCGGCAGTAATGGACTTTTCATAATAGGACATATCAATGGAGTTCCCTGCAACATGACGATAGATACAGGAGTCAACATTACGATCATCCAAAAAGATCTGGCTCAACAACTGTAAGGTATCTGGATGCTGCCCTGTGTTACACTCCAGACTGTGTCCGGCCTAAAGATCGAGATCGAGGGAAAATTAAATGTTAATATCACATTTGGAAGTGCCACTTACCATCACACAGCATAGGTGGTAAATATTACAGATCCTCGCATACTCGGATTGAACTTTCTAAGGAAATACGATTATTCCTTGTACTTTAAAAATAACGAACTGCAGCCTGCCTCTGAGGAAATAGACTTATTTGGATTTAATGATGAAGGAGTTCAATCTGTCCACATAGTCATAGCTCAAGACAATATCACAATACCGGCAAGAACAGAAATTTTACTTCCTGGATCCATAGCCGAAAATAGAAATTTCCGCTACGGCATCATAGAATATCCCAATAAATGTAATAGCCCGAAAGGAGTACTAGTAGCCTCAACACTCATCGACCTATCGAGAACGGTTATCCCGGTGAGAGAGTTGCCAATGTAACTGAGAAGGCGAGAGTTATTAAGAAAGGTGAAGTGGTTGCAGCATGTACTCCAGTAACCAGCGTTGAAAGAAAGAGTAACATCCCAGAATCCCGTGTCCTCAGAGAGCATTACATCGGAGTTATTGCAGAATGCACAATTAAACGATGAAAATAGAATGCTGCCGATCGCGTCATTCAAAGATCTTCAAGTTTTTCTCCCGCTCGTCTTCTGACGTGGGTCGAAACTAGTTTGACGCAACATAGAATCGATAAATGGCGATCATCCCAACCAATTAAGCAACATCCAAGATGTCTCCTGATTGCTAAACAAGAAGAGGTATGAAAACTTTAAAGGATATGGCAGAAAACAATGTCATCGAGCCTTCAGCAAATCTTTGGGCATCTGCTATTGTCCCGATGAAAGAAAGATGATTCAGCTAGATTTTGAGTTGACTATCGCCGCTTGAACGAAGTTACGAAGAAAGACAGTCACCCTCTTCCTACAATTAATGACATTCTGAACACTCTTTCTGAAAGCAAATGGTTTTTGATACTTGATTTAAAGAGTGGGTATTGGCAGGTAGAGATACATCCTGATGACCAAACAGAGACTGCATTTACTACTGGACAAGGACTTTGACAGTTCAAGGTGATGCCTTTTGGACTGTGTAATGCGCCGCCTAACATTCGAAACGTCCATGTTTTGAAAGGTCTTTCCTACGAAGCCTGTCTGATATACACGGATGACATCAACATCATCGGGAAGAGTTCTGAAGAAAATCTTAGAAAGGTGCTTCAGAAACTTAAAGAAGCCGATCTAAAGTTAAGTCCCACCAAATGCAAATTATTCCGAAAGGAAGTTGACTTACCTGGGACATGTCATCTCTGCAGAAGATGTGTGTACGAATCCTGAAAAAGGGTCAGCGGTTAAATACTGGAGACGTCCCGAAAATGTCCATCAGCTAAGAAGCTTCCTAGGGCTTTGCACCTACTATAGAAGATTCGTGAAGGACTTTTCTTCCATCGCAAGACCCTTCACAAGCTGACAGAGAGCAAGCAAAAGTTCTTGTGAACAAAGGAACGTGAGGATGCATTTAACAACGTGAAGAAAGCTTTAACATCTGCTCCAATTCTGACATATCCTCAGCTCGGCAGATCACTTATTCTCGATCAAGATGCGAGCAGTGAAAGTGTCAGCGCTGTTTCGTCCCAAGAAATAAACAGCCAAGAACGTGTAGTTTCTTACTGGAACAAGTGCCTGCCTAAAATAGATACTAATTAGTGTGTCATCAGCAAAGAGTTGCTCCCAATATTCAAAGCCGTATAACATTTCCATAATTATCCACACGCAGAAAATTTCTGCTCTGCATGGATCATGCTTCATTGACCTGGCTTTTACATTTCAAGAATCCTGAGGGTCAAATAGCCAGGTGGATACAGAGACTCCAAGAATATGACATTACTATCCGTCATCTGAAGGGATCATCACACAGAAACGCTGATGCCCTCTCTAGAAGACTTTGCCCAGAAAGCTGCTGATATTGTTCCAGGGTCGAATCGAAACACGAGCTGATGTGTCCGGTCGCACGACAAATTACAACATCAACATCAGCTGATCAAGACCCATGGAGTGACAAAGAAGTCAGAAAATGCCAGCTGGAAGACAGCGTATGTTCTTAAAGAACTACATAGCAGCCACACAAAAAGCCACTTTGGAATAATGAAGACCTTGCTGAGAGTTCATCAACGCTTCTACTGGAGTAATGCAAAGGATGACACACAAAAGTGGTGCCGATCTTATGATGTCTGTGCAGGTCGGAAATGACCGAAGACACACAGCTGATGCAAGCTGCAATGTCACAATCTAGAAGCACATTTTGAAGGTATCACCTTTGACATCCTGGGACTTTTGCCCCGAACTATTGATGGCAATAAACACATCCTTATTGTCATAGATTATTTCATCAAGTGTTCTGAAGCGTATCCTATTCCTGTCCAAGAGACTGTCACAGTAGCAGAGATAATAATATAGCACTGGATTTCCAGGTTCGAAGTGCCTCTTCAGTTGCATTCTGCCCAAGGAAGAAATTTTGCACTGGCTCTAAGTAAAGAAATCTGCAAGCTTCTAAGCATCAACAAAACTCAAACGACATCTTTACATCCCTACTCAGATGGCAATGATACAGACGTTTAATCAAACCATCCTTAATAATCTCTTGGTCGTGGTTTCCAGAAACCAACAGAACTGGGACAAGAAGTTACCTTTTTTTTTAATGCCTTATCTTACTGCTGACCAGGAGACTACCGTCTATTCCCCATCCCAGATGCTCTTCGATTGTGACCTTCATCTGCCTTGTTATCTTCTGCTTGGTCACCCTCTGGATATGCCTTCATCGCTTGAGGAGTACAATCAAGGCCCAGTTTGAAGTAATGCACCAGTTTGTACAAGAGCAAGTAAGCTTGGCGATGGAAAAGATGAAGACCTGATACAACACAAGAGCTACAGGATATCAATTCAACAAAGAAGACAAGGTATGGTTGTGGAATGCGAATGAATGGAAAGGACCATGTCCTAAACTACAGTCATCCTGGGTTAAAGTCCTTACATAGGCCTAAACAGGCTGAATGATGCTGTAGTTTGGATCCATAAGTCATCAAACTCCAAGCCTAAGGTTGTTCAATATAACAGGATAGCTCCTTACTTTGGTCATAGTACGTAGTGTATATAATGTAAATAATATAAGACGATACTCCTTTTTGTTTTAAATTTGTTAATTTATGCACTAATTTATTGATCTGTATTTGATTTGTTTTATGTTACTTACTGCAATTATTGTTTACGTTGTTTGTTGTTGTAATGTTTATTATTACATTGATACTTTAGTGGTAAGTATGGCTTCCCGTCCAGGGATTGTACTACCCAGGACGTGCAGTCCTTGAGAAGGAGACAGTGCTACGGATTTTGTATTTAGATAGCTAATGTTAGTAACATTATAATTAAAATTGCTTTATTTCTCTGAGCAATGCAGCATGAGACATATTTCAAGAGAAAGCTACACCAGAAAAGTAAAAACAGAGAAGCACGTACATTTCACATTTAATAAATAGATATCTTGAAATGTATAATTAAACTGAATAAATGTAATTGACTGCTGTGTCAGCTGTAACCACAATTCTACTCTTTTGCTTTCCAGAAATCTTGAGAAGCAAAGAAATTACTAGAACTCTCTCACGATTAACTGAGAGCTTTAAAAAGCAGGAGAGAAACATCTCAGCTCAGTTGTTTAGTTAGATGCTGTTGTTATTTTTGTGAGTTCAGATTGGATTAGCTTTCTCTTTGCACTGCATTATATTCTAATGTTTTTAATAGTTTAAAGTATAGTTCCGTATTACATTGCGTGATATGGTATGAATATCTCTGGGGGAAAATGCAGCGTTCTGTTATATTTCTTGTGATAAGAATAATCATTCTTTTATTGGACTTGTGCATTCAATTTATTAAGAACGTACATAACAACATATTTGTTCTGGATCATCAGTATACTCCAACAATTTGGCTCTTTATTATACTTCTTCATCTGTGACTTCACTTCATAGACTACTTTCTGTTTTTCAGCTTAGAGTGTAAAGACCTTATTTTATTCTAACGAATTATTTTTAGTTTGACTTTCCTTTCCCTCCTGATTCCAGTTTCCTGCCAGAATGTAATATTTTGTACGCAAAAACTAGAAGCAGTATTTAAGCTGCGTTTCAAGTGTTCGTGAGGAGTAGTAGCGAAGTTATTTCCGAGTTTATGCTGCATGTTTGAAATAGCTCTCTAGTTGGTGTTAGACACCTTTCAGATAATATTGATATTCTGAGCTTGGCTTTGCTATGTTCAGCCGATTTAGCAGTTTACATAACTAAGTAGCCAGTTGTTTAGCCATCCTAATTTATTGTGATTTTACATTTTTGTTTTCTATTCAATTTAGTTTATCTACAAGTGGTGGTGAATTGCGAGCAGAGTGTGTGCATCTTATTATGGTACTTCAAATAAAAAGGTTATTTAAACCTTCTGCAGTATCTGTTCTTCAACATATAGCATGAATTCACTATGCAGTCTTTCATGTACAGTCTATTGTGAATGCTCCCGAAAAGGACACATAGACTGCACAAGAGGATCATGAAAGGATCAAGAGGATTATGAATATTGCCAAAAGAGTATTGAAGAGATGGTAGTTATTTTGAATTCCAGTAAGTATATGGAATAAGTGTATTGGAATGGTTTAACACAATTAGTGCTTGCTAATAGCAGTAATTTGTGACAATGTATCTGCAACAATATTTTCTGGTCCATGAATATAATATAGGTAATCTGCCTGGGTGATGTAGAATCTGAAATTTTTTCCTAAAGAAAAATATTAGAGAGAAGTGATGTGTACATAAAGGCTGTTATCCATTAAGATTACACTGAAAATGCCTTACAGTGCAGTAGATAGTGTTGAAGTTTGATTATCACTGGCTACATATGAAGGAACGGGACCCAATATTTGCTGAGTTACATCCGCTGATAACAAATAATCAAGTAAGGGTGCAATGTAAATTTAAACCCAAAGTAAGATGTTTAGAACTAACATGGGAATCTTAGGTCTATCCGCAGTGAACAAAACCAAATTTTGAGAAGGCCTAGAACACTGGGCATACTTTTTTGGCACATTCACTTAATTATCAATTAAATATTTTAATTCTGACATGGGATTGTCCAAAAGTATATAATTCACCAGGTGACTGCCCCTTTACCCAGCAAGTTATCTTACATTTCCTGTTTTGCAAAAGTAACAGGAAGACTGACATTTCCTTGCAAGCTTGCTAAAATTTGCATGCTAGAAACAAAGGTTATCTGTTTGCTCTTTATAGCGATTAGTGCTGTTGCACGACCTACAGTGCCACTATAAATGTTAAAAATTGTGCTTCGGATTGCAATAATCATGTCATAAGGCAGATGTTAAATCACCAACTTGCTTTGCCAGTTGTGCCACCTGAAGCTTCAAAAGATTTGCTGCAGATTCACTTGGATCAGGAGGCATGACAGCTGTATTCAAATAAGAGTAAAATGCGAGCCTGGTAATCTTATCAGAAATCATAGCCAATTTATCCAAATTTTCATTGAGAGCAACCAAAATAGATTGTCTGTTACAGGGGAGCCTTGTAAGCTACAAAGATTTTAACAAGGTTTTAACAGTGGCCCCAGCTAAAGCATGCATACGAGTCAACCACTGAGAAGGGTGCTGATGGCCAAGCTCAAGACCTTGCAACACAGTATGAATTTTCAATTCTTCACTTTCAGAATGATTTACAATCAGTTGTTTTAGGATATAATATTTTCCAGTAGCAGAAGGTTTTAAAATGACAGCACTAACAGAATTAAGTATATCAAAATCCATAGCAGCAATGACATGGTTAAATTTTGTTAAATCTGAAGCAATATTGGAAAGGGAAAACTGTGATTCCAATCTAACAAACCATAATGCAGAACTTGTTTTTCAAAAAAAGCGGGAATTTTACTGAAGCATGCGATACCTGCATATCTGCTATATTTTCAGCTGAAAAATCATCAGTGGCATTTCATTACACAAATTTTTAAATTTAGAAAAACATATATATGACTCTAATTCAAACACAAGAAAAACATCAATACTAAACATGGTATAAAAAGATGGAAAAACCTATCATGCAGCTATAACCATTAGGGATATACACCAGAATGAAAAATACAGGAATATTAACAAAATGCAAACTATTCAGCTCATAAAAACATGCTGTACACACTATAAATGACAAAAAACTGACTCCAGTGAATGCCAAGAACATACGATAAAAAATATTTTCCTTAAAAAACACACTTTGAAGATATTCTTTAAAAAAAAAGGGGGGGGAGAGATAATTTAAATTTAAATCACAAAATACTAAATATCATTTCAATAGCTTATTCATATTCTCGCAATCTGAAAGCTGAAAATCATATCTGCTTCAGGTATCTTATAATTCACAATAACTTTCAGTTAGTTTTCAATGTTTCACATGAATGCTATTTTACTTCATATTTTTACAATTTTATTTCAAAAGCCTGTATTATATTATTCATTCTTTACTTAAGATTTAATTAAAAGTATATTTTCAGTGACTAAACTTGAATAGTACAGAACAGTTTTAAATCAAAGTATTTAGCCAACATGAATATAATAATAATATGAAATAAAAAACTCAAAAATCAGACTATAAAACTACAAATGATGAATGCATTTATATTTAAAATTTCGTCAAAAGTATTTTTTACCCATGTCCCTTTGTGCTCAGAGCAAAGCAACCTAATCGGTCTCCAGCCAGTGAATCAGCACCACACTAAAAAGACATTCACATACTCAGTCATACAAAACGGCAGAAGAAAAGAATAAATTTTCTTTACTTAAACACAGTGGCAAATTCAATAATTACTGTATTGACAGCACACAGCACAGATAGAAAATCCACAAAAAATTCAGTAAATTATCTCAGGGAAATGGGTTCATATGCTACTCAAGATGACTTTTTATGAATTTTTTTGTTTGTATCTTACTGACTGAACTATTAATTGCAAAATTTCAATTTATAAGCCATTGCACAAGTAAGAAAATAATCTTCTACACATTTATTCTGGATCTCTATGGTAATTAGCGGTTTTTCGGAGACTAAACATTTTTTTTTTTTAATTCATTGGCATATTTTAAAATTACGATATCAAGAAATCTGTAACTTGTGACATTTTCAATATTTTTCACAGTATAAAATTGAACCTTGGTCCTCTTTGTAATTATATTTTCAATATTACTCATGTTATTTTTTTTATTACTTTTAGAAAGATTTTAATTTAAATCACTGCTGTGAGATTTTACATTTACAGAGTAGTATTTTTCTAAAATATAATTTAATTATTTTGCACAATACAAATCAACAAAACTAAACTAAATGCTATTTTTACTGAATTTAAACATTCACTGCAATGACATTCAAACATTAACAAAATCTTGAATGATGAATATTGATTATTTTCACATCCAGAACTTCTAAGATTTCTATCATACCTTCACACTCTTAGCATTATGAAAGTCAAATTCAATACAGAAAGGTAGCTTTCATACCCAATACACATGAAAATTTTTTAAAACTTTTAATGCATCTGATTTGGGTTGGATTATTAATTATTTTGCAGAATCAACAAAACTAATCCAAAGGCTATACTTGCTGAATTTAAACATTCACTGCAATGACATTCAAACATTAACAAAATGTTGAGTGACAAATATTGATTATTTTCACATCCAGGACTTCTACGATTTTTAGCACACCTAAACCCTTTTAGCATTATGAAAGTAAAATTTCACACAGAAGAATAGCTTTCTTATTCAATACACGTGAAAATACCCGAAAGTTTTCAATGCATCTGCTTTGAGGGATATAGATTGGAAGTGGTGGTGGTGAATTTAATGGCACATAACCTGGGTAGATTATTAGGGCCAGACACTTTTTTAAATACAAGTTACATTTAAAACAGTACAATAACTATATACAATCATAAATTTAAAACAACAGTAGACTTATGAAATCAAAAGAAGCAATAAAATTATGAATAATAATAAGTAGAGATGAAGTTGCTTATAATTTAAATAATGATAGAGAGGTGAAGAATAAAATTGTAAAATTTGAGAGACTAAAACATACAGCATTAAACTACAAAGAAACAACATCAAATTAGATGATAAAACCCAGTTTCCTTCAAATAATGAAATAAATTAGCATTGGCATCTTTTTCAACTATGCGTTTAACAGATAAGTCAGAGTCATTAAAATATTTCATTCTAAGTTCACTAAAATATGAACATTAAATTAAAAAATGATACACTGTCAAAACACAATTGCTTTCACACTGCAAACAAACAGGTTCACACTCGGCCTTTAATGGGCAACTATGTGTGACTTGACCAATACAAAGACGATTAAAAAATGACTTCCTTTGGTTTGTAACTGAATACCAGTATTTTACTACAGGTTTCACATTTCTAAGCTTGCCTGAGAATTCCATAGTAGCTGCCATTTATTAAGGACCTTTTCTTTGATTGCAAATATTCATAAGTGCTGCACAGATCAACAGCAGACTTAGATGTCGTATTTGCAAGCTCATTTCCTTTGATCCCAACACAAATGGAAACACAGCAGTACAGATCTTTATACCCACACACCTGTAGGTTTCAGTTTTACTTTAAAACCTCAACAACTAGAGGATTACGAGTGTTGGAAAAATTTTCTAAAGCTTTCAATGCACTGTATGAATCTGTATAAACTATGAACTTCTTTCCTTGGCATACCTTCGAAATAAATAGAAGAGCATAATATACAGCAGTAAATTCAGATGTCAAGACTCAGCAAGCGTTTCCCCTCCATTACAAATGCTGCTCCAACGTGACTAGCTGCTTTTGGCCCATCTGCATATATGGGAACATGGCTGCTATATTTATGTCTATGCTCAAAGAAAAGCTGCTTATATACAATTTCGTTTGTGTTTCTCTTGTTCAGAAGGTGAACTTGTTAAGAATTTAGATCAGTGCATCCCATGGCAGGATTTCAAAATGCTGCACTGCTAGGAGGACACATCAGAAAGGGAATGCTCTTCAATTAAAGAGCGAGCTCTTAGTGAAAAAGAAGGCACAGAAGATGGTCATGCTTCAAATAAAAGGTCGTCATCAACCAAACACATCTCAAAAGTAGGTTTTGGCTTATTTAATTATGGCAAAGCACAGTATGGCTATCTGCCTAAGGGGAGGGATGCCTTCGTGGAGCACTTTCTATGGGAAACTGGCTCGTATACACATTACACATGGGAAAATCACGAAAACGGCCATGCAGCCAGCCTGTTCGTGGGATTCGAACCTCCTTAAAAGTAGGAATGCACAACTTTTTAAGCAGAAGGGCCACTAAGAGAAAGGACTTGGTTGCCGAGGGCCAACAGCATATGGGGGTCAATGCAATAAGTCGCTTAATTTGCAATTCGGACATGTACCATATCAAATTTAAATTGATTCGGATCGTTTGTAAGCAAAGAGGGATGGGGTTTCCCTTTTCCCTTGCATATGCTACTGGGGCCAAAACACCCAGTTCAGCTTGGGGAAAAAAAAAATACAATTTATGCTTGTGCATGATAATTTAATACTTGTATACAAATATTTTAATAAAAATGTGTACACGTTAGCCACATTAGTGTGATGGTTGAGATTGAATTTTATCCACAATTTTTGGTATATTTGGTTGAAAGTTAGTTGTTGATATTCTTAAGACAGATTGCAAGTGTTGATCTGTCAGTTTATTTCTTAATTTTGACTTATTTAGATTCATAAGAGTAAATGTTTGTTCACATATATAAGTACTACAAACATGGTAGCACATCTGCTTGCATTATTTTTTAAGCACAAAATTTCGGCAGGTAGAGTTCTATAAAAGTCCCGAATATCTAAATCACGGAATCTGGATTTGCATAAGTCAGAAAGTTTGTAAATAAGTTCTATTTAAACATTTTCTGGAGTTTCTTTGATTACAACAGAAAATGGATCCCCGAACAGTTTAAATTTAACCTTATGCAACTCAAAGTTTGCAAATCACTTTTCAAAAGAAATAAGCAGCTTCTTTATTTGACTTGAATAATCCAGTTGTTTATCATGAGAATTTTCTGAGTTTCTTCAGGTACGGAAAATTGACAAAATTTTGAGAGCCAAGCTGCTTTGAGAACGGCTGGAGTTTTAGTTTGAAAGCAGATACTGCATTGGCCAGGTGATTGATGAATTGCTTTTTTCCCATCAATTTTTTGTTTAGGCCATTTAGATGGGCTGTCACATCAACTAAAAATGCTATGCCATACTTGAAAGTTGATTCCTTTAACATCCTAATTTGCTTAACATTTTCTTCAAGGAATGGTATTATTTTATCAATAAAATCAGTAATCCTTTCCAAAGCCTCTCCACGGCTCAACCATCATACTTCAGAGTAATATATGAGATCACTACATTATGCATCTATGAGTTCTAGGATTTCCTTAAATTGCCTGTGTTTAAACTATGTGAGGGAATAACATTGATTGTATCGCTCCCTAATTTCATTAGGCAGTCAAATCCTAGTTTTTTCGCACATAGCTATTCTTGGTGTATGATACTCAAGCAAAGCTTTTCCTCTATCATCCAAATGGCTTCTCAGTAGACTCACCATGCCATTCTGAATTCCAATCATGGCTGGAGCTCCATCAGTTGTGATACTAACAAGTTAGTTAATATCAAAATTATGTGCAGACCACAAATTTAAAACTGGGGATAAAATATCAGTTCCAGTTGTTTGCCCCTTCATTGAACTCATTCCAACAAGTTCTTCAGTTACTTCAAAATTTTCAGAAATTCCTCTGACAAACAAAGGAAGCTGAGTTGTTGAAGTAATATCTGTTGCCGCATCAGCTGCTACAGAAAAGTACTTAAATTTGGTGGCAGCATTCTGTAATTGTTCAATAACATCATCAGATAAATTTTCAATTCTTCTTTGAATTATTATTCTGCTGAGACTCACATTTTTAAATTTCTGGGTAGCTTCAGGGCATACTTTAACTAACTTCAACACAGTTACCTAACTGTGAAGATGCCTTTGTAAATAAATTCCTTAGAGCAACGAGAGAACGGCGAAGAGATTCAATTTTAAGATTTTGATCCTCTCCTTCAAGCTTTGAAAATGTTGAATCTTTCGTGTCGTAGTGTCGCTTAATGTTATACTCCCTGCAAACACTAGTCATAAAAGTACATATGAAGCACATAATTCTATTATTTTGCTCCACAAAAAAATATTTCGAAGTCCAGGCCTCCAAAAATTTCCTGTCATCGCCTGCTAAGTTTCTTTTCGTTTTGCATTCATCATGACAACTATCAAAACCACATCGGACGAAAATTGAAAAATTTCTACATTGGTTCCACTTTCAAAATAATATTTAAACAAAAGTGAAATATTCAAAACATGAAACTTCTTAATGGTCTCGAAAAGAAAAATAAACACACACGTGATAAAACAATGTATAGTCACGAAGCCAAAAGTGCAACAACTCTAAGAAAATTAATGCACCGCTTCGGATCCGACCAAATATTTTTCTCTTCCACTTTACTAGTGCATGCATGCAAACACACTTGTGCTACGTCATACCACAGACTCTTTTTCAATCTTTGACAGGTGTTGGTCCTACAGGCTAGGAGCAATTTTCATGTTCACGCAGCAGATGTGTGCTTTGGTTGACTTCCGGCTCAGTGCCAAATATCACTTCGAGGGGACAGAGTAAAATGAGTAAT